TCAACACATTCCTACCCGTTCCTTTCTTGACCTGTGTTCGGGCGCGGCCGGCACTAGTATTGCCTAGTTTGAGATCACCAGTTTTTACACATTGAGGATGATTGCTAGTGCCAAGCATCGTCTATTGGTTCTCTGTGTAATTACAGCTGGTCTTGCAATAACTGAGTAGCAACCGTGGGCGGTCAATCATGGTCATGCTCATGTTCAATACTGAATGAATGCTGAGGAGCACTTCAAATATTTTTTTCAGGAGTATTTTTCGAATAATTGCTAGGTAATACACTGCAAGAACTATTATTACTATGAAGAGCATTGCTGAATGAACTCAGAGAGTTTTATTTTTAAGAGTATTATGGTGCAAAATATAAAGGAACCCCATGTTCCATATAACAATTTCGAGATCCTGGACACAGAAATTCAAATCAAGATTCCAGATTTGCAAACAAAATAGAAATTATGAGGCTTCGATCGTTTTTAGACTTCATGTTTTTATTATTGTTTGATCCTGATGTTTGAAAAATCTCAAGATTCAGGGAAATTTATTTAAAATTAATTATTCCGGACATTAATAAACTTCTGGTACTTTGAATTGGGATTCTAGCAATTTTTAAGATGTTTGACCTGGAAATGTATGTTTAAAAAATTCAAATTAAAAAATCACTAGTTGTTATGTCTGTAAATTAATGTCCTTTGAATGTATTTTTACAGCCAATTTTTAAATAAACATTATCCTTAATTCGGATTATAGTAATATGGATGCTCACCAGCTAACAACGAATTTAACCGTAAGGCCATTATCCGAAATTCTAAAGCACATTGTTAAATGAATGCAATAAACATTGCGGATATTTTCGTTCAATATATATTCTCATAGATGACAGACGATGGGAAATGTTCACTCTGCCCCAATTGCTTTGTGGTCGCATGTGTGTATGTATACACACTACTAAAAAGTCATGCAAATTTCGGTTCCCTGTGACCGACACATGTAAGCGGGCCTTTTGACATAAGAATCAGTTGAAAGAAACGTGAAAATCAGTTCAATCAAACGTTCTCTTCGTCGACTAGCTGATTTTTCGGTTTGAGAACACTTAATTTTACATGAAATTTTTGTTTACGTTCTATGATTTACGTCCAATATGGATTACATGGATTGGCAATTCCACTCTCCCCATTCAAATCGCTTCAATCAGGCACTACAATATATGATTATATGAAAATATATAAAATATAAGAATAAAATACTACCACTGATTTTCAACTGCGCAAGCAAAAACGATCCCTCCAGGGTAATTGAGCATCTCAAAACCACAACACTCCACGCTAGAATATGGTTAAGTTTCCGCTTGGTATGTAATGAACAACAGAGATACGTGTTGGTTCATATTCATAGTTTTTGCGGTTGATGATTAATTTTAAAAATACGAATGGTGAAGTAATGAAATTGGGTTGTTAGCGGAATGCTTTAATAAAACAGCAAAAAAGGTTATCTTCCATTTAATTCCACTTAATTAATTTTGGTATCCATGACAGATACGTATTTCGACTACAATGTGCAGTCTTCATCAGTGTCATTCCCACTAAAGAACTTATCAAAATCTAACCCCCTTAAGTACTCATCCCCTAGGTATAAAAGTCAAGATCACAGGTATATAAATGAAACTACAATGTGTTGAATCGGAACCTACCTAACTAATTAAAACCAAAGATTTAAGTAAGCTAAAGGAGAAAAATCTATTCAACTCTCTAATAAGGAAAATCCCAAAGTAAGATGATGAAGACTGCACATTGTAGTCAAAATACGTATCTGTCATGGATACCAAAATTAATTAAGTGGAATTAAATGGAAGATAACCTTTTTTGCTGTTTTATTAAAGCATTCCGCTAACAACCCAATTTCATTACTTCATTATGATGGCTACCAAGCCTTTGGGATTTTCCTTATTAGAGAGTTGAATAGATTTTTCTCCTTTAGCTTACTTAAATCTTTGGTTTTAATTAGTTAGGTAGGTTCCGATTCAACACATTGTAGTTTCATTTATATACCTGTGATCTTGACTTTTATACCTAGGGGATGAGTACTTAAGGGGGTTAGATTTTGATAAGTTCTTTAGTGGGAATGACACTGATGAAGACTGCACATTGTAGTCGAAATACGTATCTGTCATGGATACCAAAATTAATTAAGTGGAATTAAATGGAAGATAACCTTTTTTGCTGTTTTATTAATACGAATGGTACTGCCAACGGTGACTACCATGACAACAACAGCAAACTTTAAACTTACAATTTGTCTAGGATATAACACCTTTGCTCGGCACATCCACTGGATCTTCATGTACACCATCTGTCACTGTCTGTAAATATATATAATAGCAACACAGGTACGTGACGCTTCCTTCAACGAAAACTAATTTTCGTGCATTGTCATGGTCATCTGGTCTAAAGTAGCTGGTCCACCGAGCACTCGGAATGAGCATCATTGAATTAATGCAGAGATTATGGTGTTATATATAAAGTGCAAAATGGTAATGAAAGCAATACGATAGGGATTAGTTTCAAGAAGTGACAGTTTAATCAGATTCTCCAACTAATCATACTCAGCCAGTTAATACAAGCTATATTACGACTATATGGTTACTTGGGTACTACCATGGCCGTCAGAACGGTTAATCGGTTGCGAAGTGAAGTATTTCTGAAATTGATGCGTTATATTTCGCAATGTTTTTATTTTATCCTTACGTTACCTCAGTATTATAACATACATAACAAGCACCACAAGTTGAGGTACTACCAACTAAGAAACGTTTAAATTTGTCGTTAAAAGTGATTTCAATTTATATTTTAGAGTGTTATATCTGCATGTCTGTTATCATATCTTCACTATTGCGACTTCGGGTAATCTGCAAAAGTACTTGCATTTTTCTCAGGCACTTTTGATAAAACTATAACGACTCTCTAATACTTGAGATGTGCCCTATACAATCTCTGACCAAAGCGCAGGGATAGGCTGTATTTAATAATTGAGTATTTTCTCAATTTATTTCCATAACATCTGGAGTTCCCCAGGGTTCTATTCTGGGTCAATATTATTCTCGTTGTACATTAATGACCTCCATGAAGTAATAAAGAATTGAAAATATCATCTGCTGTTATATTGTTATATATTAATTCAGTAATTATGTTGCTGAAATTTCTCAGGAAATTAATATAAATTGGAAGAGAATCCTGCAAAGAATATGCTTACCTTGAATTTTTAGAAAACAAACGCAAATTTTAATGCAAATAGTTTTTATCAAAATATATTAAAACTTCCATTGCTTTGAGACAGTGAAACAATTAAATATGTCGACAATGCAACCAGTTTGGGTATCGACATTCAATCTAATTTTGGATGGAAAAAATATGTGTTATCACAATGTAGAAATATTTATGCTTCTTTACGTTTACTTTACATACCATAATCACTTCTGAGAACTTCATAGGAAAGTTTTCGAAATCCTTTTTCTTCTTTATTTTTTAGCATGCCATTTTCTCCTCGATGATGCATCCGTTCAATAAACTTAAGGTGGCTCTTACTTCATGTGTTCGATATGTTTTCATATCAAGTAGATATTCTAGTGTTTCTCACATGCAGCATCATCTAATAGGAGGCCCTTTGGTAAACTTTTGCAAGCTGCGTTGTTGTTTATCGATGCATAGTCTATCGAGAACAAAATAACCCGGTTATCCGGCTGCAGAAAATTGCAAACTTTACAAAGCAATCGGTCCATTAAATACATGTTGCCAAGACATTGCTAATAAAAGTACGGGAACTCATTTTTCGTGCGAGGTGCAGTTCACTAAAATTCTTGACCAAATAGTTTAACTAATTAGTCATACATTAGGTTACATAAATTCGATAACAGCATATAAGAGAAGTATTGAGCACTTTAGTTGAGTAGTAAATTTAGTCAAATTACTGTTACGTATCAATTTAATGTTTTTTTTTGTTATACACTTGTGGTGCTTCTTCTACTTTGAGATAATCGACATAAGTCTCAAGTTGCAAAATACAAGCCATTAAATAAAAAAAAAGATTTTAGGTTCGCATATATCTATTTAGAAATAGTTTACTGTAATAAGGTATACCTTTGTTTCCCTCACTCGTTTTTTCCCTTTTTCTCTTTCTCTCGTTCTCTTTCATTCTCATATTTACTCACACTGCATCTATCCCCGCAAGGATGCTGATTGCCATAGATCAATATGTAAGCGGGAACATCGCTATGCCATATACATCGAACGTTTACTTATATGTTTTATTAGAAAAAGTTCATCGTTTGACATTTTGGACTTGAACCTTTTGTGTCACTTTTCAATTTGAACGAAAAATCTAAATTTTTGAGATATTACTTAATTAGGCCCAATAATCATTTTCCGCATGGGAAAACATGTCACCCAACGATTTTGAAAACTTAACCCCACCCTGGAGGGACAGTCAAAAGTTTTTAACTTCCATTGATTAACCATCGGAGTAAAAAATCCTCTGGTTAGTGTTCTACTGAGAATTATGTATTTTTTTCAGTTGTGCAGGTTGTGCTGTCTGTACAAACATGTTTATTGAAAATCTCTAAAAAATAAATAATACAGAATACAGAATACAGACTCTCAAATGTGAATAATTTAAAAATCGTGAGCATTCGCAAGGGGTGCTAAGCGCAATTTCTGTTCAACGGACACCATACCAATACGAATGATTCCAAAATATATCGCACTTATCGAATATTTAATAAGAATTGCTTCAAGCACTTGAGGTACATTTTTGATCTGCTGCATAACAATAATACGAAGCGTTTGCACGATTTTCATCCTTAAATTTCAATCGTTTTATTTGCACCACACAATTGAATGAGACAGCACTTTATTACGATGATAAGAATTCGACCAATTCATCAAGAGGCAACACAAACACGCAAGCAGCTCATTTTGGCATTCATATTTCTTACGCTTAGTGCAGTCTTTCGACACTCGCTGCGACGATAACCCTGGAACGCGACGATGAGTGAAGATCGCAAGCGAAAATTCCTGCAATCCAATCTGCTGCTAAGAGTATTATCCGAAAACGAAGACCTAAGGGGTTCGGAAGTGGTACGATGCTCACTGGAAGTTCCCTCCAACTTGGACGGGTTTATGGCGACTATCTACAGTTTGAGCGTGACAGTTAGAAACGAGGAAACACAGTGAGTTGATGCCTCCATTATGATTCAAGTAATAAATCATTCCATTCATTGCAGTGAAATTTCCGAGTTGAGCCTGCTGGTAAAGGTGATGAAAGGAGACGACAAATTCCGACGTGAATCGTTGGGTCTCATTCTGTTCCCAAATGAAATTAATGTCTATAAAAACATAATACCCGCATTCAAACAAATGATAACCAAACAGAAGGCGAATATCGATTTCAAGACATGGAATCCCAGAGTTTTCTTCTCGGAACAGGGGCTCTTTCCGCAATACAGTGATCAATTTGAAACCATTCTAGTAATGCAAAACGCTCAAGTGGATGGTTTCATGTCCGGTCCTCGATTGGATTTAGATGAAATGCATCTAACTTTAATGATTAAAAAAATTGCACAATTTCATGCATGCAGCTATGCACTACGCATTATCGAAAACGGTAAACTAAATCAAATGGTGGAAAAAATAATACCGCTCAATTTCATACAGGATGGCAAAGTGTTCTTTGAAAGCTATGACATGGTGTTTCGAGCCACCCAGAAAAGAATGTTTGACTATTTTGATTCGATACGGGATCAACTCGGTGACAGCGAGGTTTTCGCCGATATTGATATGTTGAGAAAACTTTATTTGAATAATCCTTCACAGCTGATGCAGAGATGTTTGCGGAGAGACGATATCTACTCAGTTATTCTCCATGGAGATTACAATAGGAATAACGTGCTGTTCAAATATGTAGATGGAAGTCCAACGGATGTAATCATGATAGATTTTCAGGAGAATCGTTTTGGGTGTCCTGCGTTGGATTTATCATTTTTCATGTACATGAACATGAACGAAGAGGTTCGAAATTCCCATTGGGATGAGCTGCTTTGCTGCTATCACGCTGAGTTGCTCAGATGTATTCTGGAAATTACCAAACTACCTTCAACCGATGATCGACTTGAACCATACAGGTATATAAGATTATATTATACTTCTAGAAGAACTTTGAAAGCAATCAATATCTCTGTTAGGTTTCACAAAATGATGGCTCATCTGTCGCAGTTCTTCATCTATGGAGCAATAATCGCAGTAAAATTTTTACCAGTAATAATGGGAAGTCAGAAAGATGTCGACGAAATTGTTCATTACTTTTATAATGACATTCACGCAGAGGAATTCAAACAGGCATTAATCAGATCTGGAGGCGAAGATGCAAATCGGCGGATTGCTGGGCTGATGATGCATTGTTCCAAAAAGGGTTACCTCAAATTTCTTTAGGAATGAAGTAGGTAGGTCATTTAAATGAAAGAGTTGCAAAACGCAACAGTGAGGTGCAATGAAATTGGCTAGCTTATGAGCCAATAAAATTATAAAACGAACTAATAAATAATGCATTTTCATTTGCATGCAAATGACCCTTTTCTATCTCCTTCTGATATAATCAATGGGTTGTGCTATTGATTGTGGTAACAACCAAGAGTAAAATGAATTTTATGAAAGATAACAAAAACAGACGGGAAATGGATATTTCGCCGTGAAACAGAGGAGTAACTTAAGCAAACTCCTTGCCAAAAAAGCTATAAACACAAAGATTTACTATGTTATTATGTTCAAACTAAATTCTATTTTTTAAATAAAAGTCACTTTAACACCTTTTACCTTATTCGTGATTTGTCCGGTGATGAGATTTGAACTCGTGACCTCAAGCGTTGGAGGCATGGATGCTGATCACTACATCACTAGAAAAATCATACATGCTCGGTTATTGGAGATGAACTAGCCCGTGGTTAAAAATCTCCATAATAATGATAAAAAAGCATGGTCTGTAACGTTACTGTACAAAAACGGATATTTTTAAGAAGCACCCTAAGTTAATTATTTTGGAACTGGCTATGATCACCGTTAATTTGGTCTATTCAGGGGTTAATAGAATTGCCTCGATGATATCAGTCAAAGTCCGTCAAGAAAGTTACTTTTTAAAAACGAGTGTAAATCGTGAACCATCAGAAATATAAAATGGTTTCTTTAAAACAAATTGCACAACTTTGTAGAACGTTAAGCCAGTCTATGTATGTATGTATGTATGTATGTATGTGTGTAAAAAGCCCCCACCTAGCTTTTTTTTCCCTTTGTTCGGGACCTAACAACACTGTGACCAGTAATTTGATCTATTGTAGTATATCTCGTCCCCTTAGTTTAGTGCATGTCGTATTACTCAATCACGATTGAGAAATGATGAAGGATTCGGTTTTGATACAGCTGTCATTCTTGCCTTCATCGCAAGGATCCAACCCTAATTGAAAAGTCCCGTTATTTATACTCTTCGGAGTGTTGAAACTCCCTCCAAAGGCGCGCCTCTTTGTCAGGCAAAATTGGATTCCTTAGCAACAAAATTAAGGAATGACACCGGTTATGACCATGCATCAGAACCCTAGTCTTAACCACTTCAAACCAGGGAACAACGAATAGCAGATTAGGAATCAAATAGATGAAGACTAACTAACTCATTTTTTGCTTGTTTCAAGATCATCCTCGCTGGACAGTCTTGTCACTATCAACAAGGCATAAAAAGTAACAAGGACTAAGTTGTGCTCCTTGGAATAAGAGAATCTCCTTCCGAAAATATGATCCAACAAAATGAACTACGAAATTTGCTTTCCACTAGATGGTTTGTTTAAGAAGAGCGCTCAAATTCATTGCAACTGTTGGAGTAAAATGCAACTATCTAAAATGACAGTACACATTGCCTCCTAGACTCCGGCTGGCACTTCACTCCATTGACCAGTTACAACTTCAATGATGCTCTGATGCTCCCTCCAGAAATATTTAATATTTTACATTTAAATATAAAATTAAAAATGTAATGTGTTTAAAATATATAGTAAAACAAAATATATGATAGTAGATAAGTATGACAAATTAAAAACAAACTGGATTTTAATTTTTTGTGATTCAACTTCCCTTAAATCATCATAATTCAATAGTACTTATGCACAAACATTATACATGTGCCATATATTGATACTGTGCCCCATGCGATGTTATGAATATTTTGAGTGATGAAGCTAAAAACCGAAAATCTAGGTTATCTATAATTGTAAATATTGAACACTCTGCAAAAGTAAAATGATATGCTTAGTTATTCTGTAATGTAATCCTGCTACTCGGCACTTTCATCACAATAAGTTACAGCAACTTGTTTATGACTGAAATAAGTCGTATATAAGTTTCTACAATTGATTTGTAACAATCGTGCTACTAGGGATGGTTATATTAAAGAGTAACTGAAATTATATTCAATTATGCAATGCGTTTTTTTTCAGCCGTATATAGATCCTGTTGGTAAATAAGTAAGCAACTGTTTAAGTAGTAAAATCTGTACTTATTATGAATTATTATTATGAATTCATATAATGTTTTTTAACGTTCCACTCTGTTTGAATTACCACAAACGAAGTGACAGAAGACTAACTGGTGAAGAGATCAATTAAAATAATGTAGTTCGCTTTAATAGAATTTTCTTAGAAGTTTATGCCATCAGCCACCATATGGGATAGTATTTTTTTAATTTGAACAAAGTTGATTTTGTGTGCAATGATCTTTGACAGGGTGAAAAGAGTGTATCATTTTGTATTTTTTTTTACTCATTTCAGTTTTAAGTAGAGTGAAAGAGATAGAACCAAAACATTCTAGTACATTTGGTGAAAATGCTAGTACAATCCAGTAGTAGTGTTGCCATGTGGTACACTGAAAAATTGCAATAGCAGGTTCGTCACCAAATTTTTCAAGTCTGTTACTTTGTTTGTGGTTATAAAGTATGGAACGCGCAAAAATTGGTCATCTTCAAATTGGTGTATTTCTGCTAAAAATGCATAAAAAAGACCTGAGGAGCAGCAAGCGGAGCCCTGTGCTGTTCTGACCGGACTTGGCGCGCTGTTACTATGGGAAAAAGGCAATCGAGAGGTACGTTGCGAACAACGTGGTTGTGGTACCCAAAGACCACAACCCTCCCAACAGCCCAGAACTCCGCCCTATCGAACGGTGTTGGGCGTTGGTCAAACGGAATCTCAAAAAAACTAATAAATCCATAGAAAACGAGCAGCAGTTTAAATTTAACTGGCATTCGGCGGCGAATAAGGTCGATGAGACCACTGTGCAAAATTTAATGAAAGGGGTTAAGCGGAAGGCACGGCAGTTTGGATTTGGCAAACCAAAAAAAATAAACGAACTTTTTTTTTTCCCTTTAAATATATGAATTGAACTACCAAAAGAAAAATAAGCAGATATTTGTGATATTGACTGAACGAAACGATTTTTGTCGACCAATATTTGTGCATTCCTGCCTTTACTTGATTGATGCCCATGAAAAAAGTATTCAAATTTGAACTTTTAAATATTGATGTTCCCGAAAAGTTCACTATTTTGCCATACAGAAATTCAAAACAAAAAATTTTATCGGTGGATTTGGAAAGTTTTTGACATGCTTCATACGACCGGAAGATGTATGATGGTCACAAATGCCGTGCCAAACTGATTTCCTACGCAATTAATCAACCTTTGATGTGAATTTCGCTAATAAACACGACGAGCATTTCTTACAGCAAAACTTGCCATAACAAAATGGGCATAGTTCATTTTAGTAAACAAATTAACACTTCTTCCTTGTATGTCACCTTTGTATTTTCGGGCGCCCTGGTGAACGAAGAGCTCTCATATATATTCTGCCGCACTCTCGCCTCTCCTTCCTCTCACAGCAGTGGAAACCCTAAAAAAAAAACCCCCAAACACACTAGCTGCTCCAACTAGAGGGATCTCAGCAGAGAAAAATGGACTGTGTCCACTTTCTATCACCAATCACTCGCGACACAATGACTTTAGTTCGCCAGTACAGTCTGTTAAAACGCAGCGCCAGCACCTCACCGGCAGAATCAACTCGCGACCAACGCCGAAATCAGAACCGGCAACTCAAGTGACCGAAAATAAACGCGTCTAATACCGGCCATGGCACCCTTCGATTGTATTTCTGAAACACAACCTCAACGCGCCTTTCGTTCGGGAGGCGGAACGCCAGCACACAGCAAGTGAAGGGGAGAAAAATAAATGCACAGACAGCACGAACTGAACCGCTAACGTTTACAGCCAAACGTGAACTTGTAGAACGTTAAGCCAGTCAATCAATAGTTTATATTTATAATTCATCAACCATCCTAATGTCATGAACATCATTGGCTAAAATAAAATGAAAATGCTTTCCCGCAGACATTATTTACCTAAAACAAATGGTTAGGGCACAAACGGGTTCTGGATCATAGAGCAACGCTCTTATATGTGACTGGTCATGAGATTTGAGTTAAAACTACTGCAAAAACTAGTCGTCATTGAATTACTCCTACCATTTACATAAGCTGATGACAGCTTTTTTCAATCTGGATTAATGCCTGAAAAAAACTGTGTTTAAATTTTCCGAATATGCACCAAAGTATATCATGCTCTGGTGATTTCTGTAACATTTGTAATTTTCGGAAATAGCCAAGTATTACGCAGTTTCCACATTGCCGACTCACCATAGCCCAATAAAGTAATAGCTAGTCCAGTACTGATAAAAGTGTATCAACACACCATGGAACAATTAACATTGGTTTCCTCAAGCTAATCACAAACTAGAATCAACTCCCGCAAATAGTTTCAGTCTTCGAAATTCTTCCGTCAAAGCAGACAAGCGTTTGGAAATCTCATCTAAGGAAATATATTCACTGCAACCTGTGCGCCACCCTGCTGAGGGCATAAATAATGTTAAAAGCTTCTCGCGAAACTTTTTCCGGTCATATTTTTAATTAGAAAATGTAAACTTTTCCGGTTGGAAGATGTTTCGGTGCACTTTCGCATTCCCGGTCTTATTTAGCAAACCGGGGGCACCAACGGGCTTACAGCAAAGGTGAAGGAAAGAAAATTCATAATTGATTGAACATTGCTGAGCGAAGAAACTGTGGCACTCTTTAGAAGTATTCCAATGGTCCTTGACCCCATCTGACGACCATTTCGTAACGTTACGCGTTTCCTGGGTTTCTGCTGCTGGTGGGACATTCTTTCATTTATGGAAACTTTCCTTCACAGCATTCGTTTCGGGTTTGAGTTCTGTTGAGTAGTTTTTCATTTGTTTGCGACTCTTGAAATGAGTTCATAAAATACAATGAGGATTTTGTTTTACTTTTATAAAATGAAGCTGGTCTCAGTTTTTTCTCATCATTACAAACCATTAGCAGTGCCAGGGGTGTAGTGGTAAGCGCGATTACCTCTCACCCCAGAGAGCCTAGGTTCAATCTCAGTCAGCACCGTCGGGATTTTCTGAGGTATACAATCTCTGGGGAAGTAAAGCCGTTGGACCCCGGTTCATGAGTTTATGGGTTTATATGTAGGGTCCAGGTGTGGGAGCTGCCTCCCTGGCGTCGGTAGCATTCGTATCAACAAGATCGACGGAAAACAAATCAAGGATTTTTTTTAACCAATGGTTTTCAACCTTTTCCATTCCGTCCCCCCTGACAAAAATGCTCGCTTTCACTCACTAAGGCTAGTATAGTTGCATTTCCCATGTGTGGGACTCTTCACCGGTTTAGAATACTATTTTAAATAATAAACAAGCCAAATGAACAATTTTGATCAGAAACAGAGCGAAACAAGTCCATTTTACATATCATGTCCCTAGTCCACAACAAATGCAACACATTTTGTCACCTCCCCAGACAACCAGAATGCACGTATATTCAAAGTTGTTTCTGTGATATACAAACATATATACAAACAAACAAATCGTATAGAATGCAAAAAAAGGGTTTATATTTACAAAAGTGGAGGCCATATACGTGCAAATTTGAACTTCTGTTTTAGAACGAGTTAATTTGACATCATATACGATTTTATCTGTAATAACAATTTGAATTTGAAAAGTCTTACGATGTAATCCGATTTAATTGGTGATACAGTACGATGGAAAAATGATTCATCGTATATAAAGCGGAAATTTGCCTTCTATACGATTTAACTTACACATAATGCGATGTATGTCATACTTATACGCGATGTTGACTTAAACTGTAGTTATTTACGATACTGTCTGTACATTGTTATACGACTTCTGGTTGTCTGGGTCCAAATTTTCGATCAAGTTAAGCCGCAGTTAATATTAGTCACGCAACATTGTAATTGTCCCATTACTTCATCTTCTCGGATAGTATCCGTTCGATTGACGCTATTCAGTCGATGAAACATGGTAGGCACTCATCTCATTTCATTTCAAAGGTAAGGAAGCAGATGAGTTTGCTGGTTGAAAGAACATATACGATTACCTTTGTGTGGGTCCCCTCACATTGCTTAATCCCAGGCAATGAGAATGCAGACTCTCTCCCAAAGGTGGGCGCACAACAAGTTGAGAATTATGATTGAAGATTTTCACATGATGAATTTTTCCCATTAGTTCGTCAGATTTATCTTCTAAGTTGGCAACACGATTGTACAATTAATTTTCTTGGGCGGTGGTTACATTCCATTACTCCAAATGTTTCTTCGAGACCGTGGTTCAAAGTCTGGATGTAAATCGGGGATTCATTCGCACATCTCTACAGAATAAACCTCGTTGATAGCAATATATGTAGGTGCAGAACCGGTTATGATGACACCGATCACGCAGTTTGGCATTACCCGGATAATGACGCCTTCAGAGCACGACTATTGGATACCCTAGTGGCCCGAGGTAGACAAGATGGTAGAGAGATGTATTGGGAACCCGTGATCTTCCCTACATGCAGGTGATCTACGAATTCCTTTGTTTGTCTGACAAGTTTGTTGTGATCATCCCTTCTTTTCCGCACATTTTCCAGCCATTGTGTCCCAGTCTTATTATCCACCTGTTTCTGTGCTACTTGCCCCTGCCCAGCCAGGATTTGGTCAACCAATTCTAGAGTAGTATCTGAAGGAGGCTTCAGAACCCTGTTTCCTGCCTAGCTCCTTCCAATCGAAATTGTTACCAATTAACCTCGAGCCCGCCACGAGTAATTGGTACCCAATACTAACATAGATTTACTACTGTTTAAAATGTTAATTAAAACATTTCGGATTTTTAGCTGCGCAAAGTGTCACACACGACTAAGCCTAGTAAATAAACGAACTAGTAAAAAAAAATTTATTTGTTATTGATTGTTCTCCATTTCGTAATATCCTGATTATGAGGGACTGATATCGATTCAACAAAATATACTCAAAAGAGCTTTATCCCATTTCCTGTATTTTTATCACATTTATGTTTTTTAATCTGAGTCTTTAGTGAAAAGAAAAAAAATCATAATACCCCATTAAATAACAAATGCCAGTAAAAATACTTTGACACCGATTATCTTAGGTCCATTCCGAATTTAATATGTAGTTTGTAGATTTCATAAATCATTGCAGCGAGCTCCTTATCAAGGACGGCTCCCCCACGCTTCATGGCATCCTCGATGGTTTCCTCTAGGGTCCAGTCTTCCATTGCGAAAATATTTTCCATTGGCTCATGTAGAATCATGAGGAAACTGCTAGCTATCAGAAATCCATAGATATAATAATGCGTAAACTCCCTCCGGAACGACTCATAGCTGCATCGCATCACACATCGCGGAACATGAAACAGAGAAATGGCCAATCAGTGGAGCAGCATAAATGATAAATGCATCTTATTCATATATTAACAACAGCAATAATCTCGACAGGACAACATATGCACCTGTCAGGATTCACAGACAAGCCGGTCCGATTGTATTATCAGCGGAATTGCTTCCTCACCTGTAATGCTGCGGTAAGTCACCCGGATCGGTCTCGATAATACTGCAAAGCGTCTGCACCAGCTCGTCGTGGTATGTTTTGAATATGGTTTCGAAATGCTGCTCCCGCACGTCGTACCCCGTTGAGTTGGCTATGAAAGTGGCAAAATCAATCATCGGCGATGCGTACCGGAGTGTTTGGAAATCGAACATCATCGCATGGGTTGGTTTATCTGGAGTCTGGGAAATTTGAAATTATGTTTTAATGAACGTGATTATTTTGAAAATTTTGGTTGGTAATAAACGATGGATTGGTTCACTATTGGGTGGTTTCGGATAAATAGTGCAAGTGACTTTCGAGATGCAACAAAAATCGCACAGGGTATTTCCGGAACAAGGCCGACCTGTAGAGACCAGAAATAATTGTATGACACCATTTTGGAATCCAAGATGACGGCTTCCGGTTTGCGAAATAGCTAGATACTATTGCCATTTTGCCATGATCACTTTTGGATTGCAAAATAAGTCGAATGCTATTTATGGAACAAAGGAGATGACTAGAGACCGAAAAAAAAGGTCTGATGCCATTTTAGAATACAAGATGGTGGCTTCTGGTTTTCGGAAAAATGCAACCTGATTCCGAAAATACCAATATTGCAAGGTGTTCTGCTTTTTTCCTCAAACCGAAAGTAGCCATCGTGGATTCCAAAATAGCATCAGACATCTATTTTTAACCTCTAAATATCTTCTATGCTTTTACTTGTTGACTCCATTCCAAAAATACAAATTTTGGAATGAAAGATGGTGACTTCCGGTTTCAAAATAACACCTCTACACGTTTGCATCAAAATGGCGTCAGATATTTTTATTTTCAGCCACCCCATAATAGGCAATCCACCACATGCTGCTGCAGAAAAGACAGTAGTCTCTTCCGTAGGAACTCCTCGTGGTAATTTTGTTGGTTCATGGTTCTACACACTTAGAAATAATTAATTTTACACGTGACGGAATCTATGTTTGACATAAAGGATCAAACGTAAACTAATATGACATGTAAAATTAAGTGCTCCGAGACTGAAATGTTCGTTACTCGTCGAAAAGTACGTTTGATTGAATTGAATTGCGCGTTTGTTCTGACTCAATTTTATGTCAAAACTGACGCTCGTATATGTCAGTCTCAGAGCACCTAAATTTACATTATTTTTTTCTAAGTGTGTAGAAGTAAGGAAAGTTTCACTTTTTATCCCACAACTGCAGATTACGTGTCTTTTTGGGTAATTTCAACATCTTTTTGATTTTATTCTTCCGGGGCACTCTTCCGGTCAGCCGAGGTATGAACCAGGACTTTGATCGAAAACTGCCAGGAGCGGATACACTGGGATTTTCATTTCGAGCGTGCAGGATCGAATCGCGACGTGCTTGCTCCGGTGAAGCCATGATGTAAACAAATGAACTTATTCTGACAAACAATGCCTACTGTGATTCTTTATACTATTAGCTTGATATAGTAAAATTTTGAAAAATTTTGCTCAAAAATGCCTCAATGACAGCGTTTTAAATGTGTCCGGGTTATTTTCGTGTTCAGCCTTTACATTAATATCAATGAAAAAAAAAAAAAACTTTGGCAAACTCAATGACAGAAACGCCGAGGAATCGAATGGAAATTGTTTCGTTTTGATCAATGTACGGTAAGATGAGGTTTCCGCGGGTTTTGTCCCCAATGTCCTCAATTCGATCATTTAGTGGCCTATATTTTTATCTCCTGATAAAATCAATATGCTACATACGATTAAAAAGTGTTTTCAAAGTCTTCAAATGAAATAGATTTTTTGTAAAAATTGATTGAAATTTACTATTTAAAATTGGCCATTACACCATTAACGTCACAGGAACTGTGGATTACAGCAAAACAAGAAGAAGTCAGAATATCAGGAGGCCTTTATTCTTCCGAAGCCAGAGCCAACAACAATCCAGTAGAGAACAAACATGTCGACCAACGCAGCACGCAACGTATCGGTGAGCTGTATCCTAACATAAATCATAATAAAAATATCACCAAAATTGATGTGGATGGCCTTCTGAACCATAGCCGATTTTGTTTTCCGTCCACCATCCGCTTTTGTAAATAGGCACTTCATAGTTTAGAAAAATCTACAGGAGACCACAGAAAACGACCGTAACTTTACTAAGAGGCACTCGTGGTCCCAGTGATGGGCAAAGCACCGGTTCAGCACCTAAATATCAGGATTTCTAAATAAATACCGGTGTGTTGATCTGTTGTACTACGTGTACGGTATAGATCGGTTCGGTTTTATTGTTGCAAGCAAAACCGCACCGGTGCGGATCTGGTTTCGAGTACCGGGTTTTGTGTTCACAAGGATGATGTTCTGAATTTAAGAACAGAGCCGGTGCTGTTGTATTTAATGTATTATATATTCGAGGTGACGTCTAAAGACCAGTTCTTTTCGGACATATTCATTACATTTTGATGCTTACGTATCAAAATAAAAATATTTCGGTAAGGCAGAACATAATTGAGTGTATTATGTTTGCCAAATGACATCATCATATAAAAACCTATTTTATTGAACAGCAATCCCACGAAAATCTAATTTGACTTGATCATTCTCGAGTGCATATTTCTAAAATCTTAAACATCCATCCATCCATTCCACCTTCACAAAGCACATTCTACCTGTAAAAATGCTGTATCTCAAATAAGTATCCAGACATACCTTTCCATCAGCAAATTTGAATGCAATATTATTACGCAGGTAGTCTCCGTGACAAATTACTGCCAGTGGCTCCTCCGGAATGACACTCTTCTTCTGATACTCCCAAGGATCGGAAAGCAAAGCGGCAAACTGCTGCAGAAATTCATCCGGAATCAATTCGGCGAAAGCGCTTTCACGGACGGCCTTCACCGCACGTACTGGTCCAGTTTTCATGATGTCCATCCACTTCATATTACCCGGATCACTTCCGTAGCGTGCTTCCTTAAACTTGCCAATGATACTATCGAACGATTCACGGTGCTGCTCTTTCAAGGCGTAACACTCACCATGAAATCGTCCCAACGCCCGAGCTGAAACAGATAATTTTTGAATGATGATAAATTCCTCAAAAGTTATGCTCTTGCTCACCTCCCAGCAGACAGTATTCCAGGGGTAGATTAACAACCATCGGAGCCATTTTCCATCCGTCGATGGAATAGTCACTGAGCACCATAACAGCTTCAAAAGGCTTACGATGTGAGTAAAAATATCTATTCGAGTGATAGAGGTCCCATCAGTTTTATTTGTTGAAATGCTTGCTGTAAATTTGATTTCATACCTGGGATACAGGTCTGCTTTTCCTAGAGTTGGAATGATGTCGGTGTAGGCGGTTGTTTCATTCTCGAACAAAGTATCAAATTGACATCCTATGTACATCTCCTCTGCGCATTGAGGGGTAATCTGGAAAATATTTCCACAAGGGAATTTTAATCTGAAATCGACGTCCAAGGTTATTGTTGTTTCTAGTTAGGCATGCCAATCAAAAATTCAACCGATCCATGTGCCAGTAAGCTGCCAACGTTCAGCACATTGCTTCCTAAATTAAATTTGAATGGCAATTTGAAACCTCCCTGTATTTTGCGAAAAAGGATGTTGGATGACAGGCAATAAAAGACCCTCTGGCACGTGTTGCTTCTTTCCATCCATATTAGCATTATCAAGAAGCATAACCAGCGTTTCGATCATTTTAAGGTGAAAGTGGAAAGCGCTATCGATTCATCGTAAAATCTGATTACCTGTTGTTGCCGTCACATTTTGCCATGTTCATGATGGCATCAAATAATGAAGGATGGATCATGTATTTTATTGCTTGCTTCATATGAGATAAAAATATGCTAACCTTAAAAATCTGCGAATCGTATACTCTTTAAATATGCAATGAAATATTGTCCCTTATACAACTGACACCGACTCGACTCGAACCATGAACGTTGCGATTATCAGACCTGTGCTTTTTCCACTGCTAAAAGCGAGTAAGAAGCGCTCATAGTACAATAATTTGATGCATGCTTTTTCTGCTGAACGCGAATTGGAGAGAATCGAAGCAAGTGTGTGCGTCGTTCTACAATGTTATAAATTAAAAGCTGGTGGTATCGTCGAAAGCGTAGACAGAACACGAAATAAAAAATAAATAAAATCATTGCATCGTCTGCATGACCAACTTATACCGGTCTCTGCCGTATTTGCTACGGAGGATGATAGGAAATCCAGCTAACATTGAATGTAATAAATTTATGGTTTGCGTATACGTTTTACATTGTTTCAGTACCTAATATCACTCAAAATAGTAGTCAATAGTTTTGGCCAGTTTTATGTCCTATTTACTCTTCTGTGCACCGATGAATACACTACAAGTGGTCGCGAACAAAAGCGAATGTTAGAGCAGCAAATAAAGCACTAAATGGTGATACGGTCAAAATTTGGTCAAGGGAAAACGCGTGTAAATCGGTGAAATCGTTTATTTAAAAAATCAAATTAAATTTCTTTTTCAAGTTCAATTAGTATAAAATTCAGGAAAAATATTCAGTTAGGCTTCCGCTTTTCCAAATCCGAATTGCCGGGCCTTACGCTTGACCCCTGCCATCAGATTTTGTACAGCCACCTTGTCCACCTTCTTCGCCGCAGAAAGCCAGTTTGCCTTGAACTGCTGCTCGCCCTTAGCAGTTTTTTTGGTCTTCTTTAGGTTCCGCTTGACAATAGCCCAGTATTTCTCAATTGGGCGGAGCTCTGGCGTGTTGGGAGGGTTCTTGTCCTTGGGAACCACCTGCACGTTGTTGGCGGCGTACCACTCCATGGCCTTTTTACCGTAATGGCAAGATGCCAAATCCGGCCAAAACAGTACGGAACAACCGTGTTTCTTCAGGAAAGGCAGCAGACGTTTATTCAAACACTCTTTCACGTAAATTTCTTGGTTGACAGTCCCGGAAGCTATGAAAATGCTGCTTTTCAAGCCACAGGTACAGATGGCTTGCCAAACCAGATATTTCTTTGCGAACTTTGACAGTTTCATGTGCTTGAAAACATCTGCTACCTTTCCCCTTCCTTTTGCCGTATAAAACTCCTGTCCCGGAAGCTGCTTGTAGTCGGCTTTGACGTAGGTTTCGTCGTCGATTACCACGCAGTCAAACTTCGTCAGCATCGTCGTGTACAGCCTCCGGGATCGCGCTTTGGCCGTCGTATTTTGTTTATCATCGCGATTTGGAGTCACTACCTTCTTGTAAGTCGATAGTCCGGCTCGTTTTTTGGCTCGATGCACGGTTGTAGACGATACACCCAGCTTATTTGCGGCATCTCGGAGAGAGAGGTTAGGGTTTCGCTTGAAACTACCAGCAACTCTCTTTGTCGTCTCAGCGGCTTCCGGTTTTCGATTTCCCCCCGATCCAGACTTCCTGGCTGTCGACAAACGTTCCCCAAACACTTTAATTACATTTGTAACGGTTGATTTGGCAACTTTTAGCGATTTTGCCAACTTTGCGTGCGAGTAGCTCGGATTTTCGCGATGCACGAGCAAAATTTTGATACGCTGCTCTTCTTGCTTGGGCGGCATTTTGACAACTGAAGAGTGAATTCCAAAATCAAAATAGGAGCAACATTCTACACACACACCTTCAAAATGAGGGGTGTTCAGGTTTTTTAAATGCAAAATTGAAAGAAATACGTCAAGTTGATATTGACCAAATTTTGACCGTATCACCCTTTATTGCAGCAGCAATTGAAGAAAAAAGCGTTTGCAAAGTTCTCATTGCATTAGAGTAAACTATTACCTCGAGGTTTGAACATATTATAGTTAGATAACAGTTTCACAAAAACAACCGAAAAAAATAATAATAATGCAGACAATGCAGACATTACAGGAGCTAACACTAAACACACCCGATCTGTATGGCGCTCTCGAGTCGATTCAGGTAAAAACGTTACACAGTTAGAAAAAGAAGCATAAATATCTGTTCAATATGATGCACATAAATGGAGCGTCACATATCATATAAGTTTACATTATACATCATGTAAAGTTGATAGAGCGGCGCCGGTGGGGTAGTGTTAAGCATGATTACCTCTCACCTCAGCACCATGGAGCACCTAAGGAGCATTTTCAAATGCTTAATGTACAGTTTTCTCTATTTTAGGGAGCGTACTTTAGATATTTACTGAGCATTTTAAGATTTTTAACGTATTTTGATTAATCATTTAAGAAGCAACCCGATCTATTTTAAGGGGATTTTTTACTTCTTAAGGATAATTTCATCTGTTTTCTTGAGCAAATGTAGGGCTGCCATTGTTTACAAGTTGCTCGGTTGCGTGAAATGAAATACAAGTTTACGTGAATGAATGTTTACATCACAATGAAAATTCAGAATTTTATCAGTGTATTTTAGAGTCATTTTTCTCCGGACGTGTATCTTGCCCAAAAAATCAAACATATCTTCAAATGACAAAATGACAAGTGATCAACGAACCGACTGATAAAGCTATGTCAGAAGTGGAAAGCAATAATGATATAATCTTCTTCCTTTTTTCATGACAAGCTGCCCGTGCGACACAGCTCGCTCGGGGCGGTAGAAGGAAACGAGCAAATTGTTGGCAAGCTGCTTCACGAAATAAAGCCGAAGATAAAACACGTGTTAATGGGATTTTTTTTCTGTCTTTTCTCGATTCAGATCAAGCGATGCCTTCATCCATGTATATTGCAACAAAGCAGGCAAGCAATATATCATTATCCATCTACCACTCCGATCGAGCTATGTTACAGAGCGAGTTTGTCATGGTAGTCGTAGCAACCGTTTTATCTGTGTCGTTGGTTGCTTTATGTGTTTGGATTCGCTGATCTTACCCCATTTTAAACTACTAATACCGAATTCGATTTTGATTCAATTCCAACCTGAACCGGGTATCAATATTGGGTTTGCCTGTTCTTTGACAAACGCCAGTTTTTCCGCGACCGGCCGCGGCCACTGAAGACGACCATTAATTTGCTCACTTTAGAATACAAGCTGTAGCGACACGTTCGTTGTTTCGAGTTTTTAGTTCCGCAAAAGGTTTTTGTCTCTGAAAATCTGGACTTCAGAGTATGTATTCATACATATCATTGTACCCAGGCGCAAGTACCCGAATCCAATCAATACGGTTGTTATCTGCGTTCTGCATACATATCAATTAGTTAGTTCCAAATGATATTTTGTGTGCTATGCCAGGGAACCGTGTATCCAGCTTAGAATATGATGACGCTGAAGACCGTAGATCTGACCTTCGGAAGCTTCCTGTCGGTGTACAAAACGCTCAGCTACGCGCCACATCCCACCGATCCGGACAAGATGCTGCTGAAGCAGGAGGCCACCGTCCAATAATTGACCAATAACATTAGCACCAACGCCGGTAATGGCCACCGGGGTCTCGATTGGGTGATAGGGATATGGAGATGAAATAACTGGCCAGTTCTTCAGCTACTTGCACGAATGAAATCACAGACCACACAGCAAAAAAAAAAAAAAATTATATCACATCCAAGAGGATGCACTCCAATCATGTCGAAAATCTCATGTAATTTTTATTACCACTAAAATAAACAAATGTAGTAAAAGCAGCGTAATGTCAGTTCACGCACTCAATTAATGATAATTTTGTCCTTTTTGGCAAGTAATATTACACCACATATTTGACACGATTGAAGTGCAGCCGCTTTGATGTGATATCAAAATTAATCTTTTGCTGTGCAGGCACAAAAAAGCATGGATGAGCTCAGCGTAAAAGCCCAGAAAATCCACATATAGTAACAAATGTTGTAACAGGTGCTACCGGTGCTAGTACAGCTGTTTCCTCGACATCTTCTTTTTCTTCTACCCAACGTCGAGGACGGCAGCCACATCGAGAACGGCGACGACTAATACAAAGGCTGGCCATGGAAGTGGATAGCTCGCTTCATACAGCACATCAACCGATTTGTTTAGATCGTACCAAACGGCACCCGCAACTGCAACATTAAGCCACGCTACGGAAATTGTACTCAAGACGATGTCTCCTTCGAATGTGATGCGGATGAAGCTGTGGCATCAAATACTCCAACTGTGGTGGTGCTCATCAACGGTTCGACAAACAGTGCCCTAAACGCGAGGATTTAAAGCGCATCCGAAAATAGGCATCTACCAACATTCAACCAGAACGAAGGAAGGATAAGATCCCAGCTTTCGGGCGGAGGACTTTCCGCCTCTTCATGGACAAGCGAATTCATGGGTGCAATCCTCTCCCCCTCAAGAAACGTCTGGATCTTCTGCTGGACAAAACTCTCCACCACCTGGATTCTGGAGACAACCAACAATGCAAACAACAACCCCGATCTGTTTTCAGTGGATGAACTTATGGAAATTTTCGTCAACATGACCGATGCTCTTCGTAAGTGCCGCAAT